ATCCTGTATTTAAAAAGATTAGGGGCTTAATTTGATTCACAGATCTGATTATGGGAAATATGCAGCCATCTTGCAACTAGGAATGAAGACAAATTGCAGTAAAAAGTGTTATGCAATGTTATAACCACATCAGTCTATCTCAAATGTTGTCTATACTTTAAAAATAACTAGATAACACTTTCCTCTGTAATTGTGAGTGGTACTCTGCAAAAATTGCTGTCGTGATGCTCTACTGTTGTGGGTGGTTGCTTGCTTGCTTGCACAAGATATCTATTATATTCTGGGGCCAGACTCACAAAAATATTCCTAAGAAGGAAGGAAGTTATGAAATTTATTAAGATTTTAAGAACTTCACAACGTTATTCCAAAATACAGAGTTTTTTCCTGGCTCAAAATGAGGCCTTCAATTGGCTAAAGCAAACACATATAAGTAATGTTTTTTTGGCGATAAATGCCATTTTCTTCAATCATCTACTTATTAGAAGACCTTCGAAGAGCTTATATATATATATATATATATATATATATATAGAAGCTTACCTGTACTCTAACACAACAGCTAATGTACTCATTTACAGTTAACAAACCACAAACTTGTTTAAAATCAAATATAACTTTAAAATCAAATAACTATTCACTATTAACTAGTTGCTTATTAGCATGTTTATTAGTAGCATATTAGCTGTTTATTAGTACTTATAAAGCACTTATTAATGCCTTATTCTGCACGACTAATTTCTAGATCCCTTAAACCTATACCCCATAAACATCCAGCAACTACTACAACAACTACCTCACTTACTATCAATTAGAAGAAAATTCTTTTTGAATAGAGTTTATTGAGGGAGAACTCTTAGTTAATAGTGAATATGTGTTACCTAACTTTATATTTACAGTTCACAGGTAAACATTTTAAGCCTTTGCTTTCATTTACATATTTCACAACTAGAAGTAGAACTTAGAATCTTGAGAAAAACAGCATATTCACATACAAAATGAAGCACATACAAAAGAACTGAATCAGATGCAGTGCAATCTGTTTTACAGAATATGGAAGTTTGTTGCGCATAACCTATTAGCATCAAGCTACGTAAGACAATTTATAAGATTAATACCACGCTTTTACTCATAACTCAATTTTAAACCACTATAATGTTTAACTACCAACTGCAATCTAATGTAAATGTTTTTATATCTCAGGTTTCATTTTTTTTAAATCCTGTGTTTTGAACGGTTTGGAACAAATGAGGGTGAGTAAATGCTGTCAGAATTTTTTTTTTTTCTGAATTAGGCCTACTCCGTTAAGAAGAATTTTATTCCTAAGAATGTTTCATGAATCTGAACTGTGTTCCTCCTTCAGTGTACTGTAAGTCTAGGTTCTAAGTTTTATCAGTTACAAAATTAATAGCACACTTCTCCTCAACATGTAACTATCATTTGAGGTATTGTTCATTTTTGTAGCACAAATTGTAGCACAATATCTATTCATGTTAAAAAATAAATAAAAAACCGCATATTCACTGCTTTGTGGATGCTGATAAAAATGGACAACCAGAATCAGCGATCAGAGCCATGATGATGATGTTTATGGATGTCATATTCAAAACTCCATCAGCTGAATTTGGTATATTTCCATTATTTTCAGTGAGAGGGAAATGAGATAATGAGAGATTGCTAACTGATTTACATGGGCTGCAGTCCTGAGGTCATGGAGCAGTAATGTGATTTTACCCCAGTATTCTGTAGGTGTATGACTATGATAACCACATCAAGTAGACCTGTGTTTGGTGGGCGACCAATTGTCTGTGGTTCTGGATTTTAATCTGTTTGCTTAGATTACCATTTAAAAGCAGATCCAATCTTGCTTTAATCCCTCCATCCACTTCTGCTGTAGTGTTCAGAGATGACTGACTGCTCATTCCCTCCTGTCACTGTCAGTAGGATCGGTAAGTCCTTTTAAATCAGTGTGGGCTTTTGTTGTAATTCTTTTTAAATCTCAGACTACCTTTCCTCTCAGTGCATCTTTCGTAGAAAAGCAGCAGAGAGATGGAAGTAATATAACGGAGGAATTTTCCTGTTTCTAACTTCAGGTAGCCATTACGTGTTCTTAACAAGCCATAGAGCGACAAGTGGTATATATTCTTCCATAACCAAAGGATAGGATAAGTTCAGTCAAAACAAAACAAAAAATCATCATTTACTCACCCTCGTGTCATTTCAAAGCTGTATGATGTTTGTTCATTTTTGGAACACAAATAAAGTTATTTTTATTATTCTCTCATATCATTGATTAATAGACATTCATAGACTAAATTAAATCTGATCCTTAAAAAAAGTGAGTGTGTCTCTTCAGAAGCTGCTTGATTCATACAGATTACTTTTATGATGTCTTTATGTACATTTTAAAGCTTTAAAGTTTTAGTTTCATGGACTTTCAGTGGATGGGCAAAAATGATGAGAGAATATTAAAAATATCTTAATTTGTGTTGCAAAGATATACAAAAGTCTTGTGGGTTTGCAACAACATGACGGTGAGTAAATGATGGCAGCATTTTCATTTTTGGGTTAACAATTTTTTTAAATTAATCAATCACTGGTGAATATTGTTTTTGATCAGTGAATCATGCGTATACATGAGCAATGATACATGAAAAAGCAGATTCAAACAGATTCAAAAGTTAAATACAAGAAAGAGTAAAGGTTAGGAAAACATTTTTGAATGAACATCCATAACACTGCAGATTTGGTCATGCCACAATCTACTAAAAGTGGTTTTGTTACTGGAAAAGCTAAGGTGTTTGGAAAACAGTTCAGCTATTGTTCTCACTACTTTTAGTTAGTCATTCCGCAATAAAGTGTTGCAGGAATTATGTATATTTGGAGGTCAAAATCTGGAAAGGATTTAGCATTTTAGCACTACCGGTTCCGTCATCCTGAAGTCAATGGGTTTTTGGTTAAATGCTGTGGTTAACACAAGCTTAAAGGGGTCATATGATGCTGCTAAAAAGAACATTATTTTGTGTATTTGGTGTAATGAAATGTGTTTATGCGAATAAAGTGTCAACAAAAGCTAACGCATTACCCAAAATAAGGGATTGGAGCAATTCTATCGACAAGTATTAACTAAATGCAAGTATACTGTATATTTTTAGTGATATGAAAATAAAACACTATACTGATGTCTAAAGCTTACTGTTATTTATATCTATTTACTGTTGTCTGCTACAATAATGTTTTCCAATTACACTACCGTACACTACTAAGTCAGTACATTATTTTAATGGAAGGAAATTAATACTTTTTTCAGTAAGGATTTATTAAATTGATCAAAGGTGATAGTAAAGACATTTATAAGATAATTAAAAAAAGTTTTATATTTTAAGTAGATGCTGTTCTTTTGAACTTTCTAATCAAAGAATCCTGAAAGAAAATTATCATGGTTTCCACAAAAATATTAAGCTGCACAGCGGTTTTGAACATTGATAATAAATGTTTCACAGCATATTAGAATGATTTCTGAAGGATCATGTGAGACTGAAGACTGGAGTAATGATGCTGAAAATTCAGCTTTGCCATCACAGGAATAAATCACATTTCTGTTAAATTGTAATAATATTTCACAATATTAAATGAGGTATATAGGTGGGGAAGAGCTTTTGAAATGTACAATGTCTACTAGAATCATAACAGTCAGGATGTGACACTATTATCAAGAAAAATCCATGTGTGGCTTAGAATTTCAGTCAGGTTTTAGGCCCCACCATAGCACAGAAACTGCACTTGTTAAAATTACAAATTTGAGTGTATCAGTAAGAGCACCACCTGTCGGTCCTATTTGAATTTTCTCAGCCATAATGTAGTATTTACATCTACTTTTCCTTTTTAAAATAGACAGTTTCACTTTAAATTCTGTTAAACTGTTTTTATCTCTCAAGGTAGCTGATATAGGCCACCGCTGTGCTGTGTGGCTTTGCAATGATTTGTATCGTGAAAATCGCTGTACAAATAAACTTGAATTGAATTGAATTATAATAACAGAAATAAGTGACTTACTGAATAGATTTAGATTTATTAATGAAAGTGTGAAATATGGATTTTTTTTAAACACCGCAGTTAGTCTTGGATATGTTGGTGTGAAAAAGAAAAACTCAGCTGGACAGCAATCGCTTCATTTCTGGCTCGCTACAATAATATCCGTGCGGTGTCCGCTGAGAGCCATTACATGTTCATATATATTTCCAACAAAACAAGTTATTGCACTGTAGTCATTGAATATTGAAGAGACACTGTCCTTGAGGACTCCTTGAGTAATGAACTGACTTGTTCAGGTTAGGCAATGTGGATCCTACAAGGCAGGTGCCAAAGTAATTACATCAAACATCTTCAAATTGCATTGCAAGGTTTGCTCAACTACCTCTGTGCCATGAATATATGTCACACATCAAGCATTTCTATATGGTGCTCTCTGTGCTTTTGTGCATTTCGTCTCCTCAACATGTAACAGAAGCCTATGTTCTTTATACCATTGGGAGATCTTCGTATAGTGCCAATTTATTGATGTCAGAAGGTCTCGGTTTGCTTCTCTCATAAATTCATCATAGTTTTATTCTGTGTGCACTCTCTGGTCCAGCACAAGTGCTCTTAAACTGTAAAACATGCCAACATATTTTGACATAAATATTGCATCTGCTCTACAGAAGAAGCTGCATACTTTGCAGTATCTCAACTTGTACATCAAATCGCAAAACAAGGATTATACAGCAAATTGAAAATGACACAAAGGGAGAAGACTACCTCTATGAATGAAAAAAAAATCACAAGTGAGGTGTCTCTTTGAAGGCAATAACATTAAACTTAGCAGGTTTCAGGACAAAAAATTTACTCATTCTCAGGCCATGCAAGATGTAGATGAATTTGTTTCATCACTTGCTCACCAATCATGGATCCTCTGCAGTGAATGGGTGCCGTCAGAAAAGCTGATTAAAAACATCACATTAATCCACATGACTCCAGTCTATCAGTTAATGTCTTATGAAGTGAAAAGCTGCATGTTTGTGAGAAACAAACCCATCATTAAGGCGTTTTAACTTTAAACCATCAAATCTGCCCAAAGTACCAGTCCATTATCCATAATAAATCTTCTTCCAGAGAAAAAGTCCATCTCCTGTTGTCCTCTCACATCAAAATCCACAGACATATTTGTTTAAAACTGTTCTGGAGAGTTGTCACCTGTAAACAGTGCTTAATCAGTGTAAATCTTCTCCTAATTCAGATGAGATGACTTTTCACTGGACAAAGCATAATTATGGATATATGACTTTTAGCTAAAAGCAATGGGTTTAAGTTAAAAATGTCTTAATGAATTTGTTTCTCATAAACACACAGCTTTTCACTTCACAAGATGTTAATGGATTTGAATGGATTACTTGTATATCACTGTAATGTTTTTATCAGCTGTTTGGACTCTCATTCTGACGGCACCCATTCACTGCAGATTATCTATTGATGAGCAAGTGACATTTTGCTAAAATTCCCCAAATCTGTTCTGATGAAGAAACAAACTCTTCTACATTGTATGGCCTGAGTATGAGTGTATTTACAGCAAATTTTCATTTTGGGTAAAAAAAAAAAAAACAACAACAACAAATTTTATAATCAAAAATCTGAGATTTCAATATGAACTCATGAATTTCTTCATGAACTTCTCCCAGTGCCATATTATCTATGCTATGATATGCACATAATTAGTGTCTTTTTAATTTTATTTTTTACCTAAAAACATTTTAAAAAGGAACATCCGAGATGAAGTTGCTACTTTTAAAAGAAAGAAAGAAAGAAAAATATCTGAGAACTTCATTAAAGAGCAACCTCTGAGCAATAAAATGCTCCTCTGGGTATACAGAGAGAAACCTGGCACGGAAAATGAAATTTGTCGAGTAAAAGTGTAGAGTGGATTTTTCCAGCTCTGGTAAACACTTTTACTTTGGGGATGATGAAGGTCTTCTCATGTATCAGTTTGTTTGATATGGCAGCAATATTTCTGGAAATGATCACAGTTTAAGTGCTTTCTCGAAGGTGTTAAATGAAATGAAAAATGCCTAATTTCAGCAAAGCTATTTGTGACCAGCTAGCACATTTAAACGCATTTCCTGGACATTAAGCTTTGATCACCTCAGAATCTGTTAGGACATTTTGTGCTTTGCCTTTTAAACTTCCTTTAAAACTGATGCGCAAAAAGCCACAGCATTATTACGTAGTATCCCTGTGAACTTCATGACTGACAATAAGCTACAGAAAGTGACAGCTGACAGTTAATTAATTTTAATTAAATGACAAAATATTATTAATTATAAACACTGTTGTGTTTAATTCTGTCTAGTCTAGACAGTTCTGCCTGGTCTCTTTAATTAGAATGATTAAATCTCTTACAACAGAGATGTCTGTCTGATTTACAAGGACAAAATTATGTACTGTACCTTTAGATTTTAGCAGACCGTCCGTGTCATTTGAACCTCTGTGGCATGTAAATAAGTCGTTATTCCTGCTTCACATATTGACTTTTTGATTTTTGCAGTCTTCATGTTTACCGTTTCCTGTCTATTTCAGCTTAATGAAGTGATTCTATAATAACTACACATTTTAATCCCAAGACCAATGTTTTCCTAAGTGTGAACCGCAGAGGTATTTTGGTAACCAAAAGACTTTCAGTCCTGATAATATCAGTTTGAAATATATAAAAAACATTTTTTCATTATAGCAAGGTGAGATGCCTTACTTATATTTGCTTACATTTAGTTAACGCTTTCAGCCTGTCAATGACGATTATCCGCCTATTCCAAATGACACTGATGGATGCTCTGTAAAAGAGGAACAGAGCACAACAACAAAATGCAGTTCTGTGGTGCGTTTCCCAAAAGGAAACGTTAACTATGGTCGCAAGTTCCGTCGTTACCAATAGATTTCAATGGAACTAACTACCATAGTTAGCTAACGATGCTTTTGGGAAACGCACCCCTGATTGTGTCTTCTGAGTCCTGATTTGGTGCTTGAGAAAGATTTTTTGTTATTATTATCCTCATTGTTGAAAACAGCTGTGCTACTTAATATTTTTGTGGAAACTGTAATGCATTTTTTTTTGATAAATACCATTTTTTTGATTATCTTTGATAAATACAAAGTCCAAACAAACAGCATTTATTTGAACTATAAATTGTTTTGAATGTAATTAACTTAATGCATCCTTACAGAAATTAGAATAGCATTACATCACTTGCTCACCAAAAGATCCTCTGCAGTGAATGGGTACCGTCAAAATGAGAGTCCAAACAGCTGATAAAAACATCACAAAATCCACAAGTCCATCAATTCATGTTTTGTGAAGTGAAAAGCTGCATGTTTGTAATAAATAAATCCATAATTAAGACTTAGATTTAACTTAAAATCATTGCTTCCAGCTAAAATTTTGAGTCCTCTATCCATAATGTTGCTCTCTCCAGTGAAAAGATCATCTCATCTGAACCAGGAGAGAAATATGCACAAATCAAGAACCATTTACAAGCGAAAACAGTCCAAAACAGTTCTAAACAAACCTGTTGGTAGATTTTGATATGAGAGGACAACAGGGGATGGGCTTTTTTACTGGAAGAAGCGTTATTATGGATTTATGGACTATTCTGAAGCAAGAGTTTAAACATTATGATAGATTTGTTTCTTTCAAACACACAGCTTCTATCAGCTATTTAGACTCTCGTTTTGACGGCACCCATTCACTGCAGAGGATCCATTAGTGAACAAGTAATGTAATGTTAAAATTCTCCAAATCTGTTCCAGCAAACAAACAAATTCATCTACATCTCGGATGACATCTTGGGGCCTAAGAGTGAGCAAATTTTCACTTTGGGGTGAACTATTCTTTTAAGTAAGAGCGAGCCATTGTATAACATCCTTTCCTCATGTTCAAAGTGAGATTTGTCCATGGATCAGTCATTTATGGAGGCCAGTCGGCCGATGTATTTAACATCGCTCATATGCGACACAAAAGGAAAAATTACTTCATCGCGTCATGCAAGATGTTTTGTAGCCTGATTCCTTTGACTTCTTATAAGCTTATCATAATGACCTAAAAATTACAATGGCCAATCAAAATACAATCTCACTTGTGAAAAGAACCCAATTTCGGAAAAAAAAGTCCACCGCTCAAAAGAAAGCTATTAATATGTTCTTTATGCCCACAACTGCTTGAAGGCATGAAAGAAATAGTTGAGCACAGATTTTAAAATCAATTTTAGACATTAATAACAAAATGAGATTTCAAGGACAAAAGAGCTGTTTTGTTGTTGTTGTTTAGGGACAACAAAGGTACAATAAACAATAAATCTCCCAGACTACATACACAATAGAGTGATAAATCTCAAACCGTTTGTTATAAAGCTCCTGTAAATAGTTCCCCGCAGATGAACTGCAGGTGTTACAATGACTGATAATGGAGAGTGTGTCCTCGAGCTCCGCTCTGCTGCAGGGCAACACGGCATCATCTAAATCTACAAGATGGTGTGCAAAGTAACAAACAACTACACAAGACCAGAAAAGCAGGGCAAAGGACAACACATTTGGAGAATTGAGACCACATGGATCAAGTGTAGTTAGACATACCTGAAAGATACTTGTGTGGGAGAGAGAGGTTACAATAACGAATAGACATATCTGTATTATGCAACGCCGTAGCGGGAACCGTAAGCAGTCAAAATACTCAGATGTCAGATGAAATATGGCCTTTCCGTCACTCTACTGCCACTTTCTGAGGTGTTGTAAAACAAACACACGCACAGCCAGCGAATTTAGCATATTTGGAAGGTTGCTCCTACCTGTCATATCTCTTTAAGCATGTACCCAAGTTTCACAGCAACTCATCTGAACGGTGTTCTCTTCTGTGTTCATTTTTAGAGATGTTGTTTACGACGTGTCGTCCTGATGATTAAAACCTACAGGAATAGAAACAGACGTTTCCTTAGAGTAAAGTGATATTGTTTTGAAAGGATCAGGCAAAGCAGGTTAAATAAAAATGCATGATGGCCATATGAGGGTTAGATAAACATATTTGTTTCTTAATAGGAATATTCTTATAAATAAAAGACATGCATGCGCAAAACAACAGCCTCCTGACATTAAAGGGGTCATAGGATGCTACATGCACTTTTACAAGTTGTTTGAACTGAAATGTGTGTTGGCAGTGTGTGTACACAACCACCCTATAATGATAAAAATCCACCCAGTGTTTTTTTTTTAATCTAGTTAAATGTTTTCCCCTTTCTCAAATCGAGCCGATCTCAGATCTCCCCTCCCACGATAGTTTGATTGACAGAGTAGCGTTTCAGCACAGACTGGACTGGCGTCTTACCTTAGCTCCGCCCTGAGTGAGCTGTCATCAGTCCGCCATTGTTTCACCGC